GTCGATGCCACGGTTTTATCGCGAGGTGTTGTCAGGCGCGCATTTGTTGGGTCACGCACCTAAAGAACCAGTCTGTGGTTTTCAGCATGTTGGATGCTGCTGACCTTCATGAAACTTTGCAGGAAGAAGACTGGGCTGAGCAGATAGTAGGCTGCCTGTGCCAGGCTTTAACTCTACCCCTTGCTGAAGCTCACAAACTGGTTTTCCAGGAATGCTTCCAACACGAGCTACAGGATGCATGCTGCCCCTCTCGGTACCCCACAGTCCTCCAATTCTGCCGCCACCCCAAACAGCACTTCCCATACAACCTCCATCTTCCTCCAGGGGGCCAATGCCGGCTCTACTCTCTCGCCTAACAAGGGAGAGTGGCAAAGTGCCACACCTTGCTGTCCCTCTGCATCTTTCCCAGCACAGCCTGATATGTTCCCTTCAGCAGATGAGGCTTTGCTGCCCTGTTGTGTTTACTGTGTGCATCTCAGAGCTGCCTCCTCGCCTAGCTTTTGGGTCTTGGCGCAGCAGCAGGAGGAAGATGGCAAAGGTCAGTGGGGGCAGCTGTGGCAGCAAGGTATATGGTGGCGTGGAGGGCATGTGGAAGGACAGAGATGAGAGAAAGATAGGTGAGTGGGAGGAGTTGAAGTGATCACGTGACCATGGGGACGCTGCAACAGCCGTAACTTTGAGGAGCAGTCTCAAGTCCATTTTTTCTAGCACCATCATAACTTCAAATGGTTGCTGAATGGATGGTCATAAATCAAAGACTACCTGTAAGCTTTAAACAGTTAGATAGGTTGACAGAAGTGTACTTTGCGTGATCAAGGTTCAGGGTTTCATCCAATTTGCTACTTTATTTTTAAGAATCTGTTGATTTGGGGAATACAAAAGAAAATATTGAACACAGGCTTTCCCCCCCCCCAGGGAATATGAAATAGATTTTTAAATTAATGAAAGATTGTACTGGTAATAAATTATAATTAGGAGCTTTTTAATTAAGTATAATTAAAGCAGCTTTTTTATAATCTCACAGTATATTTTTAAAAGACAATATTTTTTTGTGAGATGTGCTGTTTGTAAGTATAATCAATACTGTGATTTATTAAGTGCCAACCGATAGTTACCATTTTAAGTGTTTAGTTAATATAATTTATTGGGCTTCTGTTAAACCTGCCAATGTGTGTACTTAGCACTACTGACTTCATTCAGAGGAACTTTGAATCTGGAGAAGGCCACAGTTTTGAGCTATTGAAAATTTTGAGATGTGTCACAGGAAGGCTTGTCCAATTGCCAGCTGGTTACTGTAATGGACATGGCCAGTTAAAAAATCAGACCACTGGTTGGAGACAGGGAAGCCTGCCAGCTTCCCTGTTAGTTTCTGTATACAGAATCTAAAAAGGAATGAGAAGAATCTAGAAAGGAGTGGATCAGGGAGCCAGAACACATGGGTCCTACAGCCAGCTCATTCGCTTATCAAGCTCTTTCAGTTTAGCATGATTACAATGCGTGAGCCGACAAAAGGGTGAATGACAAAACCGTGCCCAACCAAACCGCGTCACTAAAACCGCGATATCATCAACGCGCCGACAACCGCGTCGACAACAGCGCGTCAACAGAAGGGCGATTTACAACAGCGCGTTGGCAGACGGGCAATTTAAGTTAAGGTAAGGGTTAGGTTTAGGGTTAGGTTTAGGGTTAGGCTTAGGGTTACGTTTAGGTTTAGCATTAGGTTTAGCGTTACGTTTAGGGTTAAGGTTAGCGTTATGTTTAGGGTTAGGGTTAGCGTTACGTTTAGGGTTAGGTTTAGGGTTAGGTTTAGTTTTACAGCGTGCTTCTGTCGGCGCGCTGTTGTCAGCGCGATTCAGCACTCATTTGTCGGAGCGCTTTAGAACACGTGGTTTTGTCACCGCGGTTTAGTTGGGCGTGGTTTTGTCGTTCGCCCTTTTGTCAGTGAACCATTACAATGAGCTGGCATGAACCTTGGATTCTTGTACATCCCCATTCTCTTTGGGTAAAGTTATGGAAAGGAAGATAGAAATGGTTGATTCCATCCTAAATTCGCTGTATGTTACCACACTTTGTGATGTATTTACTACTATTTGTTAAAATAAGTCAAAACAATCCAAATTTGACACTGGCTTGTTTCCTCGTGTATCAGACAATAACATAATGTTGGATGATGTCCCTGATACAGATTTATTTGCTACAGTAAATTGAATGGAAACGTCAACCGCAACGGAAGCCTTTTGTTTTGCAGCCTTGCTAGAGAAGGGATGCGGATGTGTAAAACTGAGGCGGGCCCACAGGTCCTCTAAGACTAGGGTTCTTAAACGGGGGAAATTTCTGCATATCCTGGGGGGGGGGGTGATGGAGCAATTTGTAATTGCTTGTTTGTGAGTTGAGGATCCAGTTGTGGGTCTGCCAAGAAGACGTTTGTGTCAAAGAGCAGGATTGGGAATTTTGTGGGATCAATGACATTATTTGAGACCAAGAAAAGGAATAATTTGTCAGACAATTTAAGTACCATCCCCTTAAGTCAAAGAAGAACACCAGCACTTCAGAAAATATCAAACGAAGGAACCGCTAGTCATTTCTGATACAGTGGTACCTCAGTACTTGACTGCTTCAAAACCCGTTAAATTTGGTGCCTGACGCATTTCAACGTCAAAATGTTGGACTGGTACTCATCTTTGTTTGGTACTCAACACACTGCAAAAGGAAGTGGGGGACAGCTGCAGAGGACAAGGCAGGAAGTCGGCCATGTTGAGAAGCTCACTGCAAAAGGAAGCAGTGCAGAGAGTAGATGGGAAGTTGGTCCAACTGGGAAGGTTACTAACACGGACAGATAGGAAGCTTTTCCGAGCCAAAACAAAGGGTCAAGTGGTAATCACATGGTTTGTTTGCTACTCATCCTTTTTAGTATTCATCATGCCTCTCAGAACCAGTTAAGCACGAGTACCTCTGTATCGTATGATTATAGCATTGCTGGGAACGTGTGTTCCTGAGAATCAGACTGGTAAACTGCTGTTTGGCATTACATCTGAATCCAGTTATATCTGAATTGTGTTAGTTCTTTTCTTCTGTTTTAAAAAAAGTTATACTTGGAATAAAATTTAATTCTTTGTTATTTGTATATAACATATGTATTCTAAAAGGATGCAATTATCCAAATGCTTCCCTATCTTCTTTGGCCTGAAGAGAAAAAGGTATATTGTTCTCACTAAGACTAACGATTAGACTGCAATACAGATTTTTCCCTGTGGGTTAATCAGCTTTTTGAAAAAGCCCTGTTTCATTAAAATTATTAGCCAAAATGTTAGTTCTATTAAAAGAAATTTGAATGTTAAATAATTGCCAAAGGAAAAAGGTGTCAAGGCAATATGCTTTGAGAAAATGAATAGGCTACTGTGAAAACAGACACTGTAATATCTATCTTAATGCAGAATATTTTTGAGCTCCAGTTGAAATGGCTAAAGAACAGGTTTTTATATTAATAGCCTTGCTTCTTTGAATTCAAATGACTTTTTTATTCAAACACTATTGAAATTAGTGTCTTAAAAATCTTGAATATTTTCAGAACTAATCCTGTAAATTTTGTTTGCATTAATTCTCAATATATGTTGTTACCATTAACAGGAATTGTTAATATTTTGTCAAAAATTCACATCTGGCTGTGGTTTTTTCATGCATACATTATCTGTTATCGACATGTGGGTATCATGTTGGATAGTCTCTATTAAAATGTCATATGAGATAGAATTACTAGGAATGAATAATGTAGGAGTGCATCTTGTTCAGTCCCTCTTGCTTATAGTTCTTTCGATTAAACAAATCAATTTGAAAGCTGGCTTTTTTTAGAATTATGCATGAACCAAGAATTCTGGCTTGCTCTTCTTAATAAACAATTATCAGAAATTATTATTTGCTCATGACTTTGGCTTCTTCAGCCTTCCTGGTTCATACATATTCCAGACAAATCTTGTATTGATTTCTCTAGCCTTGCCTAGCCATGCCTGGTAGGAGTGATCCAACAGCTTGTCTTTCTTTATTAACATTGCTACTTGTGTTGTATGAACTCAGCTAGTATGTTTTTGCACCATCAGCAGACATTTATTAGCACATGATCCCTCTTCTTAAACCTCAGAAACTGACTTCACCAAGTGAAACCGTCAAAATGGGCTTTTGTTTATACTGAAGATATGAACTATAGTATACATTCCACTTGGTCTGTGGAATAGTGGTTCTCAGCAACCACAAAACTAAATTGGACCAAGTCTGTATAACAAAGTAAAAACACTAATTCAGCTGCTCACATTTACAGCAGAATTCTATGTGATAACAACTCTTCCTTCTAAGCTTTTGAAGCAAGGAAAGAAAAAGTGCTATTTCAGTGTAAGCTGATGGACATAAAAGGGACAAAGGCTATGTTGCCGTTTGCGCTAAGCCGTACCTTGTTTAACTGTAGTTTGTGGAATAAACAATTGGCTATATTCAAAAGTACTGATTAATAAATAAATAAAGCCTATTTTGGCATGGTGATATGTGTAAATACAAGCAGAGAGAAAGATGTACATCCTGTTTGAAGCAGATTTCCATTCCCATTATGGTAGATTTCTATAGCAGTGGGTAGGGAAGTTAAAAATGGAAAGACAATAAGAGATTCATGAAGTAATCAGAGTAATTGGGTGTGGGAAGTGGTTTTATTTATTTCTGTTTGCTTTGTTTTCCTTAGAAAACTAGCAGAGAAATAATACCTAATTAACATGCTGGCCATATAATTCTACCTAGGCAGCAACATTTTTAATTGCCCATAAAAAACAAGCAAAGGAAACACTCTCGACTATAATCCTCCTCCTTGGCCTCTGGTTTTCACAAAGAGGTATTGCATTTAAGGGGAAAGTTATTTTCATCTGCAACTGAATGGATACTATCCAGACATATTCATAAAAATTAGGGCATGAATGAATGTGGTTTGGGTTCAATTTCCTTAACAATTTTCTGTGTTTTCCTCTTTTTTTCCTGCTTTTCTGCTGCATTGACCTTCAGGAGGCTGTGAGCTAGACTTGGCCTGCTTTTTCCAGTTGATCAATGAAATGGGGGGTATGCAGCAGGTAACTGACCTCAAGAAATGGAATAAGCTGGCAGATATGCTGCGTATCCCCAAAACTGCACAGGACAGGTTAGCAAAACTGCAGGAAGCCTATTGCCAGTATCTACTCTCCTATGATTCCCTCTCTGCTGAGGAGCACAAGAGACTGGAGAAAGAAGTTCTCCTTGAAAAGGAGATTCTGGAAAAGCGGAGGGGTCCTTTGGAAGGACATTCAGATAACAACCATGAATTCCAGTCTCTGCCCCGCTACGAGCCCAAAAACGGACTCATCAATGGCGTTGTTCATAAAAATGGCTTCCGGAACAAAGCAAAAGAAGTTGAGGTCCCTCAAAAAACAGGTAGGCGGCGACTCTTCTCTCAGGAAAAGGAGACCACAATGGAAGAAGAAGAAGAGGTTGGTGTTCTTTGTGACCTCCACAAGTGTATATACAAGGTCAGTAGAAATCTTGCTGGGGTCTTGGCTAGAAAGCACTTCTAAAATGCACATAGTATTTTCACTCACTGTGCCAGCTCTGATTTAGTTCAAACAGTGATTTGGAATGCTTATTTTGCTTGTCACTGAGCTTATCATCCGTTTGCAAAGGAATGTTGACTCCTCCACTCAATTTGATTTGGCAGCCTTCCCACTATATTAAGCATCTGGCACCACCACATGCTGTGTAATTGTTAGCAAGATTGGATTGAGTATGTTGAAATGCTAAGGGAGGACAAGATACATTGCTTTTTTATGTTGGTACTTGTGTCCAGCGCTCACTGCTTTTCCATCACTGCTCTTTATCCCATCGCTATGAACTGATAATTAGGTGCTGCTTGGAAGACTGCGCAGACACAAGTCAGTGATTTTATTTGAAGTAATCACCATTTTCAGGAACTGAGAGCTGTATAGATAGACTCCCACACTGAATATCATTTAGATTTCTATTAGCCAGATTCATATCCTTGTTCATTTCCCACAAGGATCCAGGCAGTACATGTGAAATTAATATCCTTTTACCTTGCCTTCTCTGTCATTATAAAAGAGGTGTGAGACCTTGTCTTGTCTTAAGTTTTAGTTAGGGAATAGATAAAATTGGCTTTTCTATACACAATTAACATAGGATCTAATGCAGATCCTTTTAATCTGTTGCCAAAGAGGATATAGGCTGGGAGTTCTGGTCGGAACATATCTCACATCTGCTTGGTTGGGAAGACGCTCTATAGCAGGGGTGTCAAACTCGCGTTGTCACAGCGTCGTTCGCATGGCATGTCGAGACTTTTTTCCCCTTCGCCAAATCGTGGCCAGCGCGTGATGTACCCAGCCCGCAGGCCGCAAGTTTGACAGCCCTGCTCTACAGAGGGAGTTTAACCATTTGATGAATATATTTTCATACCCATTATCTCAGATGAGGATTTTCTCATTTGGATTATGATGGCTAAGTATCATCTCCTTAAAAATGTCTGGGTTCTTAGGAAAAACCTGTCTTTCCATCTTCAGATAGTCCATGATTTACTTTTAACTCCAAATAGCAGATTAATACATATGATATGACCACTTCAAACTCATCCATGTTCAGGCTTTTGTTTGGTTGTATAGTTGATTATATATTGGCCTACAAATCATATTGGCTTGTTTTATCACTATCTTCCTTAATTTCAGCACAGGAGTAGGCTGTATTGTTGGGAGCTATACTGCTATCTGCAACTCTCCCTGTGACAAGTAATCCTATTTCCATAACTATAGTTGGTATGGTTTGTGGCTGAATACATTTTAAGAGCCCTCTCAACTAGCAAAGCTAAAACTACTTATTATAGCGTCATCATCTTTTCACATTTATATAGCACAATAAACATGTATTGGAAAGTTTAAGATTAAATTTGAGTTTTAGACAATGCTTGTTTCTAGGGCAACTATGGAAAAAACTTTGAACAGCTATTCCCATCTTTTCCTTCTTGTCACCCCCCCTCCAAAAAACACACACACACCAAAATCCAGGACTAGGCTACATAACAAGAGCCGAGGTGGCGCAGTGGTTAAATGCAGCACTGCAGGCTACTTCAGCTGACTGCAGTTCTGCAGTTCGGCTGTTCAAATCTCACCGG